CCCATACAGTGAAATTTAGAATAACACACGTATGCAAACAGCGCTAATTTTCGATTAGATGTTATCAGACTTAAAGCTAATATACATAACTTCACAAGTAAATATTTAAATGTACAGTCCATTCATGGTGATTTGTCAATAGGATGATAACATTGTACATGTAAACTGTACAGTTGGTCATAATAATGCTAATATAACAATGATCTTATCAATAACAAAAACGTGTAGATAGAGCGATCTGTGATAACAAGAATAACGAAAAACAGCATGATTAAACAAACACAAATGTGTTCTGGTAGACGTAGTAGTCGATAAATGCTAAGAAAAACAAATGAACCGATTCAGTAATGCCAGATTGTAAGAGAAGTAAATAAACTGTCTTTTAGTGAAGATGTGATAGGATTAAGGGATGATAAGAAATGGATTTAAAAAAATATCAGTAAGGGGTAATGGTAACATCCTCAGTTGGTTAGGTCTTAAAAGGCCAACAAAGAAGGTATTATGGCTGTACGAACTTCTTTTGAATGCATAGTTTAGGTAGGCTTAATAGTTCGAATGCCTGTCACCTCAGCTGTGTGATGGATAGCTTTTCATCTCTCCTTTGCCAAAGCACAACAGGAGATGTCCAGTAACACGTTGACTAAGCTGTCCAGTAGTACGTCCAACACAACTGTCTCCTCATTAGCAGTTGAACTGATCAATAACACACATAGAGATGTAGCAAAACTATCTAGCTTATCCTTTGCTTGCGTCTGAATCATTCGTCGACTACAGAATAACAAACATAGGTTCTTTGCATAAAATGTTCTCCACTATACATCTAGCTAGTCTCTGGAAACAAAATCTCGCCAGAAAATTCCCCACTAAATTGGAAGGCAATAAATAGTCATCGTCTCAGGCTTTCTCCCCAACGTTTACATATGTTTCTTTATGAAACTACTTGGATAACACATTTGCATAGTGTATGGCAAGTTAAGTAAGGCTGAATGTTGCCCACACCAAAACAGACATTATGAAATATTCCTCCAAATAATTAAGTGTTAAATTGTTCACATTCTTTGTTCCACTTAAAATACTGTCTAGAAGAATGTTTACCGATAATCATCCTGTTTGTAAACAATATTTGGCATTCATTCAGTCTGACAGAATAAGTAGGTTAAATTAAATTCTTAAGCAAGCAGTATTCATCAAGATGTTCCGTTTTTAAATTAATATCGATCGACATCAGTTGGGAGAATTTTAGAAAATCTACGACCCTATGTAAGATTATGCTAAGTCATCTCAGATCTCGTAATAATCTTGTTGTTCTTAATGTCGTTGGCCATTTGGCTTTTTGGGGGAGAGGGGGATGTGAGATCATCAGTAGCACTCAGTCATAAAACGCAGGATTCATGTCTCACTGCATTTGAGAATTATCAGTTAGGTATGGTTATTTCTTGATAGGTATTGTTGTTATAAATACCCTAAAATCAACACTGACTGCCATCATTATGCTGTTGGCGATTCCATAACATAATTCATAGAGCTATGGTGTTTGAAGAGAAGCAAAGCTGTTGTTTTCAAATATCTTGATAAAAAAATACATCCATTGAACATTTATCATACAGGATAATATGTTTATCACTGACTGACTCGTTTCAACACAGAACTTTGCACCGATATGCATCAGTTCGAGTCGCCACACTTCACTCAGCACATAAAGCAAGAGAAGAAAGTAAAAAGAAATGCAAAATAGAGACAGTAAACAGAGATATGAGGCAAAAAGAATAGTAGTATCGAAGAACAATATAGTTTTATTGGGTATTATAAGTCACAAGGAGTGGATGCATCTGAGCCAGCCATTGAGGACAATTCTGAGCCATTTCACCAATGGTATCCAGCCATTGGTGTTTAACATCCCAAGGACCCCAACCAGAAAGTCTACATAATACTACGTGGCGTAAACTAACTGTTGTGGGTTTGATTGACTGATGAAGTCATTTTTGGTTTGACCACCACTGGCTAGCTCTTTTCCAGTCTCATTCTTTGTCAACTAACATTGACCGTCGAGGAAGGCGATGGCTGTGCCTGCGTAATACATGTCCTAACCATCTCTATCAATGTAACTTCACCTCTTTACCTTGCACTAGACACCTAACCTCAATATTGCTCACCCTATTATATCATTCCACACGGGAGATAGAACGCAGGCACCTCTTATCAAAGATAGCTAGCCGGATTTTTCATCTCTTCCACTCTCAATGGCCAGGTCTCACAGCCATAAAGGAGGACAGAGTGGGCTGCTGAGCAGTACACACGTCCTTTGGTCGATAGCCGGATATCACATCTACGCCAGAGACGGCGTAAACTGGCATATGCGAAACGAGCCTTGTATCCGTTCTGAGATTTCGTCAGCGATCAACCCACTGGCGTTGGCTGATGCAACTATCAAGATAAGTGAAGTGGTCAACACGGTCTATCACTTCACTCCCTATTTCTAAGCTAAGAGTCGATGTAGTCCAGTCCTGTAGCATCATCTTACATTTGGCGGGGATATGTTTATCATGGATTAATCTGTCACCTACCACGTAGCTTCGCACAGCTGAATATTATTCAGTATCTAGATATCTTCACTGACTATTTACAGACGTGAATAATAGAGATTTGCAGCTCAGAAGGAGGTAATTTCATGAAGACATCTATGAAATAATAACAGAAAGCTTAAAGAAAGTAGCAAAAGAGCATTCACTGCAGCAGAGGTACGCTTTCTCTTCACAACCATTCCAACTTAGCGTTCGGGAATTAAATATAATTTTGCCTACTCTATGTGTATATCTACTGGCTATGCTGATTCTGTGAAGCCAATTGCATCGAGCACCCAGTTAGGCATACTGATCATCGCATTTCTAAACACCATCCCGCGTGGTTAACCAAAGTATCAAGAAGACCTATTCGTAGTTATTTTCTAACCCACCTTACAGATACTAAACACAAAGTCAATGTTAATATGTTATTTAAAGTTATCTACTGCACTCTAAAGGCTAATCTAAAGTTGGCGCTAAGAGTTTTTCTACACATAGCTGAAGTCGTCGGAATCCACCTGAAGAATCCAAATTTTGTGTGTTTAAAAGTTCGTTCAGTCGACTTCTTTGCCTTGGCTATCGTTCCTTGATTGGACACAACTGACAATTTCCTGTTCCCGCA